TGAACCCGCGGGTTCAGGCCATCCACTCACCTCAGCCTCCCAAAGGCGCGGGATGACAGGCTGAGCCACCGAGCCCGGCTATGTTTATTTTTTGCAAGACGCACTTTTAAACTGGCCCTCCCAGACGGGACGGGTCCTTTGTCCGCCCGTCCATCCGTCTTTCCTTCTCTCTTCCTCTCTCTCTCTTTCCTTCAAGTCAGAGTCCCACTCTGGCACCGTCACGGCTCACTGTGCCTCCGGAGTAGCTGGGACGCCAGGCACGTGCCACCATGCCCCACTCGTGTTGCTATTTTTTGTCGAGACAGGGTCTGGCTATGTTGCCTAGGCTGCCGGTCTCAAACTCCTGGCCTCAGGAGGTTCTCCAGCCTCGGCCTCCCCAAGTGCCGATGACAGCCATGCCCAGCCACCACACCCAGCCTGGGTCCTGCTTCTAAATCGCACGCATTGCACCGCTCCATGGGCTAGTGGTGGCCCTGACTGATCTCCAAGCCGGGCTCTGCCCTGCTGCCCGTCTTAAGCAGCCCCTCCTGTGGCCTCCCCTGCCCCCTTGTTCTCAATCTGGAGTCGCCACTGGTCTGGGCCGGCCAAGCAGGCTCAGACCCACCCTGCCGGTCCCCTTCTTGCCTTCCTGCCACGCCCAAGCTGTTCTCGCTCCCTGCCCCTTCCCACAGGAAACAGAAACCAGGACTCGCTCACCTGACTCGTGGCATCCCTGGGCTGGCTGCAGGGCCGGGGGGTGTGGAGGGCGGCCTGCCGGACCCCGGAGGTGGAGGCCGATCGCCCCAGGCGGTAGCCTCCAGGGAAGTCTGCGGCAGAAGGAGGGGCAGGGAGGGGTGAGGAGGGCAGGGGCTCAGGTGGCTTCTCCTCCGGCCCCTGCTCCTCCCCTCCCCGGCTGCCCCTGCCTCGTGGCGGTGGAGACCTGGTGTGAAGACTTAGGGCCCTGGACATGGACGGAACGGTGAGAGGAGGTCTGGATGGGCTGGGATAGACTCTAGACCTGCCCCGCCAGCCCCGGGGCGTTGGGTGTGCGCGGGCAGGCGTCACCTCCGTTGCGGTGGCAGGCAGGGAAGGTCTGGCAGGGCACGGGCAGCGCCGTGCGACCCCCTCCTCGGTCCCCTCCGTGGTGGATCCTGGCCAGCAGGCCCTCGGCTCCCTGGCTCCTCACCGGGATCCCGGACGCCACAGGGCCCCTGTCCTCACGCTCCGCCTTGCCGGGACCCTCGGCGCTGCCATTCCAGGCCCGGGCCCCGTCTTCGCCCTCTGCTGGATGACAAGGAGAGCTGAATGCCGGCCCCCAGCCGGCAGGGTCCTGCCGTCCTCCCAGCCCCACACCCTGCAGCACAGGTAGACCGGGAGGCGCAGCCGCCCCTCCGCAGGTCACAGCAGCGACGGGACGACTTCACGCTCCCCTAAAACGTACACGCCCAGGAGGGACCCCGGCGCTGCCCGCTTCCTTTCCCCCCGCGGGACTGAGACTCGTGTGTGCCGGGGCTCCCAAACCCTCTTCCCGGATCGGAGGGGCCTCCCCTGCTTCGGCTTTAGCTTGCGGCCCCTCCAGCTCCAGGTGGAACGCGGGTGGCCATTCGCCCGGGACCGGTGGGGGGAGAACCCCAAACCTGGAGCCCCGGGGGGGCGCTGGGGGGAAGGGCTGCGTGTGAACCCAGCTCGAGGCCTGGCAGAGCATTGCGTTGCCAGGCAACGGCCCGCGCCTCTCCCTCCTGGCGGGATGGGTTGCCATGGTAACAGCGGGCGGCAGCTGCGCTTGGTTCCGAGCGCGCGCTCACAGGCGCACCCCCCCCC